TAAACCACGTATTTACCGAAACAAAAGACAGTAATTGTTTTATTCCATGTTCCGAGACAGAAAAATATGTGTAAAATAACAGTTATTTACCAAAACCAACTAAACGTCAAACATTGTATCGTTATTATACACGTAAAAGCACGCGACGTTTTGCGCGGTGAATATACTTTTTCCGCAGGTGAATATGCTTATTTATTCAAAATCCCATTCATATAGAAATACCTACTAAAGTCCTATCAATATGGAATAAGTGGTTTTATTGACTTTTGAAAAACTGATATTCACTGAGGCCAGCGGCCGAAGTGAATATCAGTTTTTCAAAAGTCAATTAAACCACATATTTACTGAAACAAAAGACAGTAATTGTTTTATTCCATATTCCAAGAGAGTACCAAGAGAAATGTATATAATGACAATTATTTACCAAAACCAATTGTACATCAAACGATTTTAACATAACGTAAAAGCACGCAACGTTTTGCGCGGTGAATATACTTTTTCCGCAGGTCAATATGCTTATTTATTCAAAATCCAATTCATATAAAATAAAATGCTCCGCAGGGCGCAGCTTGATACGACCGCAGAGGTCGAACCCTGAACAGTTGGGGCAAGTATGGACACATCATTCAAGCTTGATACAGCTTTGCATTTGGATTGTGATTAAATATTTGACACAGCATAGGTTTCTAACACAGAATGAATGTGGTCTAAGAACTTAAAAATTTTAAATTGGACATTCACCTATTATGGTCCAATATCCAAAATCTAAATACATGGTCAGATTCAGCATATCAAAGAATCCCAAGAATTCAATTTTTGATGAAATCAAACAAAGTTTAATTTTGGACCCTTTTGACCTCAATGTGGACAAATGTGATAACGGGGCCCAAAAATCAAAAATCTAAATACAGTCGACTCTCGTTATCTCGAAGTCAGCCGGACCAGAGAAATATTTCGAGATACACGTAGTTCGACTCAAACTAAAACCGGAAGTTTGACAGACCAAGGGGCACAACTCTTGCTTTGCTTGGTAAAGCTAAAATAAATCCGGATGAATATGGAAAGGGGATCGATATTCTGGTATCAGATCGATGTATTTGTATGTCATGGTCTTTCATTATTATTATTATAATAACATTATTTTTACTTATTTAATTGTTTCAGTTACAATTTTTTCCTATGGCTTTTATCAGAGAGAGTAATTTTCCAATCGATATTAGTGTTATTTAGGTCATTTAAAGTTGACAAAATTGTTTATTCGCGGATACAAGAGATTTTAGAGAATTAAGATTTCTCTTCATTTTTTTTCATCTCACTCTTACTTTTCAAAAGAAAATACAAGATTAAAGACGTCGATTGAGTAGTTTTTAGGTGATCACCAACGGAAGTCTTAATCCCCACTTTATACACATCCAAGCGCATCAGTGTAAATCACGATTAATTGTTTTTGTAAACATTTTAAATACTTTTTCATGAACATTAACATTGTATCACTAATTATTTATAAAATTTTTATAAAAGATAATCTTAGGTAAACACTCGTGGAAATAGCATGTCATAAATCAATACAGTGGTCAGTGACCGGAAATTTAATTACACGTGTATTGTCAGATTAACTCTTCAATCCATTTAAATCCCTGAGGTCATGTTTTGACATTTGTGTATGAGTTCGAGATAAACGATGAAATTTGAATGCTTTTGTTAACCTTGGGACCGTAAATTTAGTTCGACTCAACCGAAATTTCGACTCATCAGGTGTCGAAATACATACATTTATATGGAACAAAGTTCGGGACCACGTGAAAACTTCGATTCATCCGAAATTTCGAGTCCACCGAGTTCGAGACAACGAGAGTTAACTGTACATGGTTAGATTCAGCATATCAAAGAACCCCATATATTCAATTTTTGTTGAAATCAAACAAAGTTTTATTTTGGACCCCGATTTGGACCAACTTGAAAACTGGGCCCATAATCAAAAATCTAAATACATGTTTAGATTCAGCATATCAAAGAACCCTAAGAATTCAATTTTTGTTAAAATCAAACTAAGTTTAATTTTGGACCCTTTGGACCTTAATGTAGACCATTTTGAAAACGGAACCAAAAATTAAGAATCTAAATACACGGTTAGATTCGGCATATCAAAGAACCCCAATAATTCAATTTTTGATGAAATCAAACAAAGTTTAATTTTGGACCCTTTGGACCTCAATGTGGACCAATTTAAAAACGGGGCCCAAAATCCAAAAACTAAATACACGGTTAGATTCAGCATATTAAAGAACCCCAAGAATTCAAGAATAAAACCCCATTGAAATTGGTCAAGAAATAAGCAATTTATACGAAGTATCTTCTTTTGCACAATACTGTGCAATTGAATATTTCTTGCTATTGTGCAATACTGTACAATTGACAATTTCTTGCTATTGCGCAATATTGTGCTATTGGATATTTCTTGCTATTGCGCAATACTGTGCAATTGAAAATTTCTTGCTATTGCGCAATACTGTGCAATTGAAGATTTCTTGCTATTGTGCAATACTGTGCAATTGAAAATTTCTTGCTATTGCACAATACTTATTATATAATAATTTACACATCCTGTTTGGTGTGTATCTCCTACCATATCATTATTATTTGCTTTTAAATATAAATCAGAAATAACCATCTTAAAATGGAAAATTTTAAAAGAAAAAAAAAAGGAAAAAAAAAAAAAATCCCCCCCCCAAATTTTTTGAACCCCCTTATGATTCATCACCCCCAAACTCAATCCCAGCCTTCCCTTTGTGATATGGTACCTTGCAGTACAATTATCAGAGAGATCCATACACTTGAACACAAGTTATTGTCTGGAAACTAGAAAAATGCTTATTTTTGGCCCCCAATTCCTTAACGTTTCGGCAATTACCCCCAAACTCAAACCCAGCTTTCCCTTTGTGATATGGAACCTTGTAGTACAATTTCAGAAACATCCATACACTTACACACAAGTTATTGTCATGAAACTAGAAAAATGCTTGTTTTTTGCCCCTTTTTTGGCCCCTAATTCCTAAAATTTTGAGGCAATTACCCCCAAAATCAATCCCAGCATTCCTTTTGTGATATGGAACCTTGTGGTAAAATGTCAGAGAGATCCATACACTAACACACAAGTTATGTCTGGAAGTTGCAAAAACGCTTATTTTTGGCCCCTAATTCCTTTACTGTTGGTACCATAACCCCCAAAATCAATCCCAACCTTCCTTTTGTGGTATTGAACCTTGTGGTAAAATTTCAAAGAGATCCATTCACTTAAACTAAAGTTAGAGTGCGAAAACCAATGTGTCTTCGGATGACGACGACGACGCCAACGTCATACCAATATACGACCACAAAATTTTTTTTGCGGTCGTATAAAAACTGCAAAATTTTGTTAAAAACTACCAATTCGGTGGCAGCAACCCAACAATGGGTTGTACGATTCGTCTGAAAATTTTAGAGCTGATAGATCTTGACCAATTGAACAATTTTACCCCATGTCAGATTTGCTCTAAAAGCTTTAGTTTTTGAGATATAAGCCAAAAACTGCATTTGACCCCTATGTTCTATTTTTAGCCATGGCGGCCATGTTTGTCGATGGATCAAAACTTCGGATACAATTTATAAACTAGATACCCTAAGGAACGTTAAGTTAAAGTTTGAAGGTATTTGGCCCAGTAGTTTCAGAGGAGAAGATTTTTGAAATAGTTTACAAAGACGACAACAGATGCCAAGTGGTGGCATAAGCTCACATGGGCCCAGGTGAGCTAAAAATGCTTATTTTTGGCCCCTAATTCCTTAACTGTTGGTACAATAACCCCCAAAATCAATCCCAACCTTCCTTTTGTGGTATTGAACCTTATGTTAAAATTTCATAGAGAACCATTCACTTAAACTAAAGTTATTGTGCGAAAACCAATGTGTCTTTGGACGACGACAACACCAACGTCATACCAATATACGGCCGCAAAAATTGGGAATGATTTTGAAATAGATCACACTCAAATTCCATGAAAAATACTTTTCTTGGATGATAGTTAGGGACAATTTTCCATAAGGAAGTGATACAGCATACCATTTCAGAATTCAAAGTACAATCAGTTATCAGAATTACGTCCCTTGAATAGAATCATCATAAGTATGCTTACATTTGTACTGCTTTCATTTTAATTGCAAGTTCCAGTGTTCATAGAAAGTTTGTTACGCATACCAAAATATTAATGCAAAGATCTCAATATCAGCCAGATTTGGCTAATTTTCCTTCTTATTTCTTCAATGAATGCAAGAAATTTGAAGGCTTAAAACATACACACAAGGGTTCGAATGATTAGAGAACTGTGAATTTTGTTATAATTATTCTACATTTAGATTTTGAATTTTTTTTACTTTATTTCAAATACAATTTGTATACCATTCAGATTTCAAATTACAATCAGGAATCAGAATTACGTCCCTTGAAATAAAATCATCATCAGTATACCTGGTATGTGCTTTCACTCTATATAACTTCTTAACAGTTTAAAATCATTGATAATATCTTCGAGTTTATAGTCAGATTGTCATTATCTAGTTTTATTTAGTGAATTCGTCATATTTCTCCTATTACTATGTTTTTGATAAGACGAAATTATAAATTATCAATAATAAACTGTATTCATTTGAACAGGAGAGTTTACTCCTTTGGATAATTTTATAAAACATAATTTAATTTCTTTCCTATAATTAAGGGGGTACTTCAATTCTTTTCCATTTTAGTAGTACGATTGAAAATGCAGTAAAATTAGAACAAATATTTTGATATATTAAATGGTCAAAAACAGAACCACAATTATTGCTACCATTCATATACAGCTTGTGATGAAATAAATTTTAATAAGATTAAAAAAATTGGGAACGATTATGAAATAGATCACATTCAAATTCCATGAAAAGTACTTGTTTTGGATTATAGTTGGGGACAATTTTCCATAAGGCAGTGATACAGCATACCATTTCAGAATTCAAAGTACAATCAGTTATCAGAATTACGTCCCTTGAATAGAATCATCATAAGTATGCCTACATTTGTACTGCTTTCATTTTCATGATTTTAACTGCAAGTTCCAGAGTTCTTAGAAAGTGTTTTACTCATACTAAAATATTACTGAAAAGATCTCAAATTGAGCCAGATTTGCACAATTTACCTTCTGATCTTTTATATGAATGCCAGAAATTTGAAGGTCTTAAAACATACACACAAGGGTTCGAATTATTAGAGAACTGTGAATTTTGTTATAATTATTCTACATTTAGATTTTGAATTTTTTTTACTTTATTTCAAATACAATTTGTATACCATTCAGATTTCAAATTACAATCAGGAATCAGAATTACGTCCCTTGAAATAAAATCATCATCAGTATACCTGGTATGTGCTTTCACTCTATATAACTTCTTAACAGTTTAAAATCATTGATAATATCTTCGAGTTTATAGTCAGATTGTCATTATCTAGTTTTGTTTAGTGAATTTCGTCATATTTCTCCTATTACTATGTTTTTGATAAGACGAAATTATAAATTATCAATAATAAACTGTATTCATTTGAACAGGAGAGTTTACTCCTTTGGATAATTTTATAAAACATAATTTAATTTCTTTCCTATAATTAAGGGGGTACTTCAATTCTTTTCCATTTTAGTAGTACGATTGAAAATGCAGTAAAATTAGAACAAATATTTTGGTATATATTAAATGGTCAAAAACAGAACCACAATTATTGCTACCATTCATATACAGCTTGTGATGAAATAAATTTTAACAAGATTAAAATAAAATGCTTCGCTGGGCGCAGCTTGATACGACCGCAGAGGTCGAACCCTGAACAGTTGGGGCAAGTATGGACACAACATTCAAGCTTGATACAGCTCTGAATTTGGATTGTGATTAAATATTTGACACAGCATAGGTTTCTGACACAGAAAGAATGTGGTCTAAGAACTTCATTTTTTTTAATTTACCTATTATGGTCCAATGCCCAAAATCAAAATACATGGTTAGATTCAGCATATCAAAGAACCCCATATATTCAATTTTTGTTGAAATCAAACAAAGTTTAATTTTGGACCCCAACTTGGACAAACTTGAAAACTGGTCCCATAATCAAAAATCTAAACACATGTTTAGATTCAGCATATCAAAGTACCCCAAGAATTCAATTTTTGTTAAAATCAAACTAAGTTTAATTTTGGACCCTTTGGACCTTAATGTAGACCAATTTAAAAAACGGGACCCAAAATTAAAAATCTAATCAAAGCACGAAAGCGCTGTAAAGGCAATTAATTACAGGTTGTGTGTATTTTAAGTCCAGTTATATCATTATCTTGCATAGTACAGTGTACTTATCAGAGGTGGCTTTCAGTATTTAAGATTTAGAGTTCTCTAATGATATTGAATAAGTTTTATGAATGTCATATTCTGAGCACTATATGAAGCCGATTGTTCTCACTTGTTTATGAACTAGTGCATTATGTCCAGTTTGTACCTTTTTTATCTATGTTTATAGTCAAATTAGTTATCAAAGGTACCAGGATTATAATTTAATATGCCAGACGTGTGTTTCGTCTACATAAGACTCATCAGTGACGTTCAGATCAAAATAGTAACAAAGCCAAACAAGTACAAAGTTGAAGAGCATTGAGGACCCAAAATTCCAAAAAGTTGTGCCAAATACGGCTAAGGTAATCTATTCCTTGGATAAGAAAATCCTTAGTTTTTTCATTGGCAATCATAACACATCTCCTTATTTATATAATGATCTATATTCAACGACCTCAGGTACAAAAAAAATGTATGTAACTAAACTATGATGGGAAACCTTTGACTTCTTTCTTTATATAAACTTTTGATTTGGTACCATAGAACTATGTAGAGTAAATGTACATTGCAACATGTCAACTCTTTCAACTCCAAGCAAAATTATATTTCCAAGCATAAAGTAATTTATGAATGAAATAAAATGCTCCGCTGGGGCGCAGCTTGATACGACCGCAGAGGTCGAACCCTGAACAGTTGGTGCAAGTATGAACACAACATTCAAGCTTGATTCAGCACTGAATTTGGATTGTAATTAAATATTTGACACAGCATAGGTTTCTGACACAGAATGAAAGTGGTCTAAGATACTTAAAAAAATTTAATTTACCTATTCAAACCATATCATTATTATTTGCTTTTATATATAAATCAGAAATAACCAATTTAAAATGGAAAATTTTAAAGAAAAAAAAGGAAAAAGAATCCCCCCCCCAAAAATTTTTTGAACCCCCTTATGATTCATCACCCCAAAACTCAATCCCAGCCTTCCCTTTGTGGTATGGTACCTTGCAGGACAATTTCAGAGAGATCCATACACTTGAACACATGTTATTGTCTGGAAACTAGAAAAATGCTTGTTTTTTGGCCCCTTTTTGGTCCCAAATTCCTTAACGTTTAGGGCAATTACCCCCAAACTCAAACCCAGCTTTCCCTTTGTGATATGGAACCTTGTAGTACAATTTCATAAAGATCCATACACTTACACACAAGTTATTGCCATGAAACTAGAAAAATGCTTGTTTTTTGCCCCTTTTTGGCCCCTAATTCCTAAAATTTGGAGGCAATTACCCCCAAAATCAATCCCAGCATTCCCTTTGTGATATGGAACAATGCGATACAATGTCAGAGAGATCCATAGACTTACACACAAGTTATTGTCATGAAACTAGAAAAATGCTTGTTTTTTGCCCCTTTTTGGCCCCTAATTCCTAAAATTTGGAGGCAATTACCCCCAAAATCAATCCCAGCATTCCCTTTGTGGTATGGTACCTTGCAGTACAATTTCAGAGAGATCCATACACTTGAACACAAGTTATTGTCTGGAAACTAGAAAAATGCTTATTTTTGGCCCCTTATTCCTAAACTTTTTGGGCAATTACCCCCAAACTCAATTCCAGCTTTCCCTTAGTGAATTGGAACCTTGTAGTACAATTTCATAAAGATCCATTCACTTACACACAAGTTATTGCCATGAAACTAGAAAAATGCTTGTTTTTTGCCCCTTTTTTGCCCCTAATTCCTAAAATTTTGAGGCAATTACCCCCAAATTCAATCCCAGCATTCCCTTTGTGATATGGAACCTTGTGATACAATGTCAGAGAGATCCATAGACTTGCACACAAGTTATTGTCATGAAACTAGAAAAATGCTTGTTTTTTGCCCCTTTTTGGCCCCTAATTCCTAAAATTTGGAGGCAATTACCCCCAAAAATCAATCGCAGCATTCCCTTTGTGATATGGAACCTTGTGGTACAATGTCAGAGAGATCCATACACTTACACACATGTCTGGAAGTTACAAAAATGCTTATTTTTGGCCCCTAATTCCTTAACTGTTGGTACCATAACCCCCAAAATCAATCCCCACTTTCCTTTTGTGGTATTGAACCTTATTTTAAAATTTCATTGAGATCCATTCACTTAAACTAAAGTTAGAGTGCGAAAACTAATGTGTCTTTGGAAGACGATGCCGGACGACGACGACGACGACGCCAACGTCATACCAATATACGACCACAAAAATTTTTTTGCGGTCGTATAAAAAGGAGTTCTTAATTAAGAAATAAACTGATTCGCTGAGCGCAGCTGTACACACCCGCAGAGGTACTACCCTGAACAGCTGGGGCAAAAATGGACACAATATTCAAGCTTGATACAGGTCTGAATTTGGATTGTAATTAAATATTTGACATATTATAGTTTCTGAATAAATGTAGTCAATGAACTTGAAATCGGTTATATGAATTGAATTTATATTCAATTAAAGATTTCTTGATGTTGTGCAATACACTGTGCTGTTGTGCAATACTTAATAAATCTGTTGCCAGACTATAAACAAATAAAGTTCAATTTCTTCTCAATGTCATATTTGAAATTTATGAAAATCAATAGGGAGATTACATCAATAGCTATAAATAATTCACCAAAGTTTCATGTGAACTGCTTAAAGCATTTTTGAGTTGTTGTCCAAAAACTGGAAAATCCCCCCTTTTTTAATGAATAAAACCCCATAACTCAGAAATGTAAAATCTAAAATTTATAAAATTCTAAAGGGAGCTTACGGATTGATAATTTAGTCTTAGATGCAAGATTTTTTATCAGTTGTTAGTGGCTTTGAACTAGCTGTCAGTAACTGCGAGTACTCTCAGATTTGTACTTAGTGTCTTTTTGTTGTTTGGATGTACAACTACCCGACCACGTCCACTTGTATTTGTATTTATCCATCTGATGAGTTTAGCCTCTTTCAACTGATTTTTATAGTTCTTTCTTATATTGTACTGTTACACCACTGTCCCAGGTTAGGGGGAGGGTTGGGATCCCGCTAACATGTTTAAGCCAGCCACATTCTGTATGTACATGTATGTGCCTGTCCCAAGTCAGGAGCCTATAAAAGTGTAATTCAGTGGTTGTCGTTTGTTTATGTGTTGCATATTTGTTATATTTGTTCATTTTTTTACATAAAATAGGCCGTTAGTTTTCTTGTTTGAATTGTTTTACATTGTCATTTCTGGGCCTTTTATAGCTGACTGTGCGGTATGGGCTTTGCTCATTGTTGAAGGCCGTACTGTGACCTATAGCTGTTAATTTCTGTGTCATTTGGTCTCTTGTGCATGTGTGGAGAGTTGTCTCATTGGCAATCATACCACATCTTCTTTTTTATATTAACATCAACAGATATAAAAAATTCACCAAAGTCAAGGTGAGACAACAAAACTTAGTTGTAAGATCTCTGAAATTTTTTACAGGGTATGAGTTTTTCTCATTGTTGGAGATTGTACGGTGACAGTTACACCTGTAACTGCTTAAACCCATTTCTTATGCACTTTAGTTTGATAAACTCACTGAATATCATACCACATCTCCTTATTTTTATATGCATTACAAATTACATGTGCATGCAATTGTAAATATATATATATCAGAACAAAATTCATTGCGTCACTTTTATTTATGCATCCTTTGGCACAATACAAGTTCTAAAATAACACAACATAAAACAACTAAATGTTATTTCAGATGAAAGTTTTGTTTCAGTTCCATTCATAGGATTTATTAGAATTTTGTATGTTTTGCCAAGTCCAATAATTCGCTCTATGTGACATAGAGACATAGTTGACTAAACCACCAGGTGTCGAACATTCAAGAATTTTCAGTGTTTCTGTTTTTATTTGATGAAAAGGTTGCCTGAGCTCTAGGAGCTTTAGGTTTTATCACGGGATATTCTGTGCTGTCAATAATAATCCAAGTCGTAGGAAACTTTAATTTGAAGTTGGATGGTGAAAAATACCTGACTAAACCACTAGATGGCCAAGTGTTAGCCTCACACCACTGTTTAGACATAAAAACAATCCATGTATACACAATATTCTTAACACTAGATTCAATCTAGAATCTAGACAGTTCAAAGTTGGTTGTATGATGCCTCAATTTCATCAAAGTCATAAAAAAACTGATTTTCAACTGACACCCTATCAATTTGAAAATATATGTATCTCAAACAATGTGCTGCTGGACCAAGTGTGGTCAAAACAAATAAAAATTTAGTATACAACTCTAAACCGGTATAAAAATGCATGGCTGTGTCACGTGTCTTCATTTCAAAATTCTCTGTTAAAAACATAGGCATTGATGGTGTTTGCGTAATTCCATCTGTGAAGCTCAACATTTGCTCGGCAGTTGGTGGTGGACAGTCATAAATCCTTTCTGCAGTATGAATGACTTCTTCAGGAAAACCAACTTTACAATCAAAACTTTCCTCTAGATTTCTACTACAATATTCATCAAGTTTAGTTCTTTTGTTTTCACAGGAAACTGCCCTGATTTTTCTTTTTGCGGACGATTCAGTCTCTTGCTTGGTCCAGGAAAATAGGCTGGGAATGGCAGTAGACTTAAGTCTCTGTATGGTGGGTTGCGCCCTGAAAAAGG